TGTAACAGGAAGCACGCAGCAAATCAAGTAAATTGTCAACGGAATTGGAGCTACCGTTCATGGTTTATAGACCAGACCGTTTGTTAGCGTTTATGGTCTCATCCGTTTCATGCCATTTCGTTTCGTTCCCAAGGCGCGCATTCTTGTTTTCGTTTTCGGTTTATTTGTTGTTGTTATTTTTGGCATTTGCGACCACATTTGTAACTGTCTCGAGGGGGGGGGGGGGGGGGGGGGGGGGGGGGGGGGGGAAGTCGTACGGTGCGCGCTCTCACTGCCGCGGCCCATAGTCTGTCTATCTAATTTTGGGCCGAGTCTAAATTCAAGTTTATAACTAAATATGCGCCCGGCAGGTCCATTGGACGGCATTGATGGAGGGCGGGGTAGGGTGTCGCTCTGGAAGCCAACCGACACGGGCCGATTGGCCTCGATTGCGTTCGCGTTTGCTTTTGCGTTTGCCACATTTTTTAACAACTTCACCCACATTCAAAATTCGTTTTGGCTTTTCAGAAAGAAGAGGAAAAATAAAAAATACAACAGCAAAACGAAAAACAAAAAACCAGTTCACTTTGGTTTAGTTTAGTTTTGTTTTGGCAGCGGCTTTGTCTTGTTAGCCATGTGTATAGCAAAGTATAGCATGGCATATATAGTATAGATAGATCTATTTGGCCAAGTTGCCAGCGAGCTGCTTAAAGTTACGTCCATCCAGAAGCTACAAGCTATATAGTATGTTATATATTCGGCACATTTGAACTACATTTGTTTCTCGAACATTGCAAAGCAATGTACCTTAAGGCTTTGCGAATATCTCAAGATAATTGTAGAAGAAAATGGAAAAACTTTCCCATACAATAACTCACTTTTCCAACGATTCTCTCTATATCGTTTTATGATATAGTCATCCGATGTTTAAAATACTTAGTGTAAGATATTAAGAGTTTCCCACTCGACTCGGCCATGCGAGATATTGATCAAATTTATTGGCAATTTCAAGCTTAATCTAAGAAATACTTACAAAAATTCATAGATTTAATGCTCTATTTGAATACTTTCCATTCTTAGGAGTTGCGGCTGTTATTTTTTCTTCTGCCTCAGTGCTTTGAAATAAGAAAAGAATTTCGTTTTCACTTTACGAGCTCGCAATAGTTACTACTGCATAATAAATTCTTGACGATCTCCTCCTCCCCCCTTCGAATGCTGCAGGCATATGTTGCATCGTAGTAATTCCTGATCTGTGGCAAATTGTGTCATAGATCTTTGATCTGACTCTGGCTCTGGCTCTGGCTCTGGCTGCAGTCAGTTCCCACAAGCTGCCAACTCGTATCAATTACCAATTGCATATCTGCAGTTATATTAGCTATGCCCACACACACACACACACACACACACACACACAAACACACACACACATATATATATATATATGGTGACTATCGATCAGTGATCTCATCTCATCGATCTTTTGGCCATGGTCGTTTCCCACACCTGAGCGAGCCGAGCGGACGGACGAACGGGGCCAACAAACTTTGGCAAACAAAACGCCTTCTATGGCATTATGGAAATACCGTTAACGTTTGGCCAAAAAAACAAGAAGAGGAGATGAAGGGAACGAGAGAAGAAAAAAAAAACAGCCCAATCAAATTCATAAGTTTCTATGGCCAAGATCAAAAGCGGGGCCCCCGAGCAGGTGACCGACTCAACCAATACACAGATCTTTAGCAGCAACTGTTGCTGCTGCTGCTGCTGTTGTTGTTGTTGTTGTTGTTGTTGTTGTTGTTGCAACAATCATTTGGCAGCGATCTATCATTGCCAACTGGCCAAAAGAGAGACACAGCTAGTTAGCTACGAGGAAGTTGTTGTCCATGAGAACCTTGAACTCCCAAGAAAGAAATCATAAAAGAGCGCTCACCAATGTCCGACTAGAAGATACCCTAAGCCCAGCTGCCAGCTTTAAATACTTTCACTTTTAAATATGAGTTTTTTGCCATTTAATGGAGAATCGGAAGAAGGTATCCAAGGTACGCGTGAATCTACAAGCCAAATTTGGTCCATCCTCGGCTTATGTGCTAAAATCGATATTTATCGATAACATGAACGTTGAGGAAGATATCGAGAACAAGCTCTCTTTCAAGTTAAGGCAAGTTTTCTAGCTCTTGTTACCAGACATGATCAAGAAAATATGTGCTCGGCGATGCTGCCCCCCCCCCCCCCCCCCCCCCCCCCCCCCCCCCCCCCCCCCCCCCCCACACACACACACAAACAGTTTCAATGGATTACAGGGTATCTTAAACAGACAATAACAAATAAACTCAGTTGTTGTTGTTGTTGTTGTTGTTGCTGTCGACACGGCCTTTAAAATATGATTTTGAATGGAACAGCGTGGACAGTTTTTTTCTTCTCTTGATTTTGTGATTTTGATTGAGTTGAAAACAGCAAAAACAAAAAAAAACAAAAGCCAAAAAAAACCGAAACAAACCTCGTGTCTTGCTGGCCGTGCTGGGTGTTAGAGCTGCGGCCAATGGCGGCTATCTGAATAAAATCGGTGGCAAGTCCACTTCGCTCTATTAGACTCAGCTCTTTGAGCCAACCCCACCCCCCTCCTGCTGCCCCGCCCACTTAACAGCCGCCCTGCCTGCGACCAGCTCAAAGACAGCCAACACAATGCGAAATAAGTTATTTTTTTGACAGCAAATCCGCTTAGGCGTCGGCCAAGTCAGCGGCCCACACGCACACACACACACACACACACACATGTGATTAGCATGTGTGTGGGTGTGTGTAGTCGCTTATACCTTGCAGCCGCGTGCGCCATGTGCAGGGTATGCTGATACCCTATACAGGGCAATACATTGATATTGTCAACAAATATGCAACGCGCATTTTAACAAGAAGCCAAGCTTATTCATCTGGCTGAAAGCTCTTGCTGCTGCATATATATATATATATATATATATATATCTGAATATCTGAATATATGCATATCAGTCAGCTAGATCGGGACAGAATAGTATATAGCTGTCAATCGGAAGGATTGCCTTCAAGTAAGCTGCTTGTTTAAGCACAATTCTATGTTGTTGCTGGAAATTTGCACCAAGTATTTTCTAGATCGTGACACTATATCTATTAAAAAATGTTGAATTCTTGAATTTATATAATCCCAATTACGAGCTTGAGTATATTTTTAAAGCATTCACAATGGTCCAATTAGTTTTTGTAGTTTGTAAAAAAGCAAAAAACATTTATCTATTTAATATGGTTTACTCTCGTAAGATCTTGTGTACTATATATGTATATATATATATATATATACACTATGCTATATATACATGCTGTACTGTATATAGACACTATGTGTTGTTGCAAAGTCAAAGTCCTTCGTGCTTGGAGCCTAGGGTATCTGGTGAAATTGTATATTTTTTTTATATATTTAATATAAATCTCATTGTTCGTATAAGATTTTTTTATTTTGCTGCTGCTGTTTTTTTCTTCTTCTTTTTATTTTGCAATGTCATTTTGTATTTCGTTTTTTGCAGTTCGCTTTAATTTTGTTTGATTTAATTTGGGTTTTTTTCGCGGAAGCAAAAAGCTGTTACGAGCATTACGGCTACAAATACCTATTCATATATGTATATTATATATATATATACATATATACTTTTTCGCTTATGGGCCAGACTTTGCTTTGCAATCGCCTTTTACCTAATGTTATTAACGTCATATTGACACACATTCGGGTCGGGCAGAAGCAGAGAAATAAAGTGCAAAAATCTAAGCTAATTACGTGACAGATACCCACGCCCCCTCCCCACACGCCCAGCCCGCAGTCGTTGTGGCATATGCCACAAGCCGCCCGGCGCGTGTTGCAACATCTTTTGCGCTTCCATAACGGCTTTCGCTCTCTTTCATTTGGTTTTCTTTTTTTGTTTTTTTTTTTTTTTACCTGCGCACACACATCGGCCGCATGTCACGTACTTGCGCTTTGTTGCATGCAACTTGCAGCTGCAGCATCGACTTGGCCCACATTGCGTCCACTTGCGGCAGCTCAGCCAGTGTTGGCAAAGTCACGTTAATATGCGCATCGACACCTGACACCTGACACCCGCCCAACCCCCCAACCCCACCCAGCCCACGGGGCCTCTGACCCATGCCAAGTGCCACGACTTTATTTCAACTTTAAACCAAGGCAAGAATACAAATATGGCCGACAAAAGCCAAAGCTCCATTTCGAGAGCAAATGTTTCCCTATTGAAGACAAGAGACGCGATAAAAGAGTTCGATTTGATACGCTTCGCAAGATATGCGGGGAGGGGCTAAGAGCAGATCGAAAGTGTCGAGTCGGGCAAGAAAGCATTTCACTTTTCAAACTATATTTCTTACAGAGCTAGATGATATAGATATATAGCAAGAATCAAGTATCTAGCATCTTGTATCTTGCATCTTGCATCTGGTGTCTAGTACCTAGTATATAGTATCTAGTATCTAGAATCTAATGTCTATCATCTTGTAACCCATAACGTTTATCATATACTATATTCGGATTCTGCTTACTTGAAATCGGTTGATATCATTAATATATTATCTATATATTAATATATATGCGACTATACTTACCTTAGGGTAGGGCAAAAAATCTGTAATTCTTTGCAAATTAATTATATATTTGAACTAAAAGCTATATACAAAGTGATATATACAATAAATATATAATAATATCAATAAATTTAAAATAACGTCAAAGTTAAATAATTTAAAATTAAAAATTTAAATACATACATTAATATATTACATTATAAAGTTAAATTAAATTATAAACATTTAAAAAGTTATTTAACAAGCGAATGTTCAAAATGTGTTTGAAAAATGAAAACATTTGAACAAAACTGGCAAAAAGTTGGATAATTGCCAAACAAAAAGGAAGATTGTCTGAATGAAATATAAAAAATATAATAATACATAATTAATTTAATATTAATATATATATATACATGCCGATAATTGCATAGAAGAGATTTACTTTAAGCTCATTTTTGGCAGCGTTGCGTCTTAACTTATTTACATGAATCCGAGAATTTGGCTTTGGATTAGGATTTTAGTCCGGAGAGGCCAGTACTTAATGTCTAATCTACGAGTCGGACTGATCTTCCATAGCATCGCAGACTTCATTCACTTCGGGCTGATTGTGAAGCCTCGTCGAATGACGCACTGACGCTTGGTGTTTATCTTCATCTTCGAAGTCGTCAACATCGTTCTGTTCACTTTCCGCTGTCTCTTCCGCAAGCGACTTGGCCTCCAGCTCTGCCTGACGCTCCATCCCATCCAGCTCCTTCACGATTGTGTCCGCGTCCATATGCCCGCTTTGTTGGAGCGTTGATGGAGTCTGTGGGCAAAGAAGCGTAAGCCAAAACTGGCCAATATGCTTAAGCTGCTATGCATACTCACCACTTGGTCGCTCACATCGGCTGAGACAACGCCCGAGTCGGCAGGTAATGGCTGATCCGACCTATGGCTGGAGTCCTCCGCTGCTGGACGCTGCGGCCGCTCGTCCAGGCGAGTGCTCTCCAGGAAACTGAGTCCAGTCGGCGACCTTGGCAGCGTCTGATCCAAGCGCGAGCTATCTAAAAAACCAGATTCATTAAAATCAATGTCCTGCGGCTCGTTCGTGGCGGCAAGCTGCAGAGCCTCCGGCTCATTTGGCTGCACATTCTGATCATCGCAGTCCGTTGTCGAAACCTCCAAGTCCATGTCCGAGGAGCCGTCCGGAATAGTTGCATCAAGTGCCTCAGCAATCGTCGCCAGCTTTTCGCGTATACCAGCTAACTCCTCGTGCAATCTATGCGCATCCTTGCTGGTGCACGGCTCCTCCAGACGCCCGTGTATCGTCAACATGCGTATCCGTAGCTGATGCTGGGCCACCCGCAGGTCGGCCTTGACCTTGGTCATGCTAGTGAGCGTGCTGGCCAAGGTCATATTATTGGGCACATCATCATGGGGTGTGTGGGGACTTGGGTGAGTCGGTGGCTCCTCGCAGCGACGCTTCTCGGGCATCGCGGAGCTGTGCTCGATGGGCTTGAAGTCGAATGGCGAATCTGTTGCTGCCGCGATGTTCGACGACAGGCGACGCTTGATGACCTTGCGACCGAGCTCGTCCGACACTGCCACGGCTACCGACGGGGACCGTTGATTCGGACGTGTGCTGCCAAAGAAGCCAACCACATTTCTGGTCAGTCTGCGCTCCATGGCAGTTGCCTTGTCGCGGCTAATGTTGCGTAACATGTTGTCCAGTGCGTCGTTTAGTAGCGATCTGGAGCGGCTGGACGTCAAGGCTGCCGGCTCCACATCCATGTCGGAAGACTCCTCCGAATCTGGCTGAATATTGATGAGCTCCCGCCGAATCTGGATCATTTCGAGGCGCAGCCTGTTCGCTGCCTCGCTGCTGCACGGCTCCTCGAGGTTCCGCTGTAGTTTCAACAAACGCGCCTCCAGGTAGCTCTGCATGTCCATCAGCGACGTGCTCCCATGGATCTGCGCTGCCTGGGCATTAGCCTTGGCTTGAACCTGAAACTTGGTGCGTGGCAAAACTGGCAGCAACTGCTGCACCCGGGCATCGTTGGTGTTGTAGGAGAACAGCTTCAGATCCCTGACGCCGGCGAGGGGTATAACGCTGAACGCTGCTCCTTGATGTTCGCCCTTCACATTGGGATTGAACGGCGAGTCCGGATCTTCATCGTCGCCAATCTCTTTGGTCGGCAAGGCGTTGCTGCTTAGCTCCTCGGCAATCGATTCGTCTGCGGATGAGTCGGAGGACGTCGGCGTTGCCCTAATCGGTTTACTTCTTGGAATATCAAGGAACCGAGCTGAACTGTCCGACGATTCAGGCTTCTTATCACAATCGTCCGTTGGTTCAGACTTCACTTCGACCGGTCCGACCGCTGATTTAGCCTTGAGGACGCGGCTCACGAAGGCGTGTTGCCAGGCCTCCAACTTGCTGACAGAGCTCTCGTCGGCGACATTCCATTGCTCCACCTTAATGGCCCTGCTGGTCCGCACGCCCAGCTCGTCCGACTCGGAAGACATATCCGAGATGTTCATGTTATTAATGGGCCGTTCGAACATTATCGACTCTGCCATGTCCGAGTCCTCGTCCAGTTCGTTATTCCTCGCCGACTGCAGATGGCGGAACGCTACGGCGCTGCTCTCGACGTCGTCTATGATCGCGAGCATGTTGCGGCGACTGGAGAACTGCCTGGACCGAAAGGGAATGTCCGGCATCAGCGTGTTCGACGTGGAATCCATATGGTAGGTGAACAGCTTATAGTTACCCTTGAAGTCAACAGCATTCGGATCTGACGCATCGACCAGCTGTATGCCCCGCCACAAGGGATGCACTGCATAATCCGTACTGTTTACGGGCGGTTCACGAACTGGCTTATATTGCATATGCTTGCGACTGAAGCGCTCCTCGTCGCACATTACCGTAAATGGTTTTGGTTTCATCACATAATTGAATGGAGAATTCGCTGGATGACGACTGTCGCTATTCTCGTGGCCACGATGTCCTCCCTCCGATGGCCGACTTTCGGCCAGGTCTTCCTTCTCTGGAAGCAAACGCCCGGCTAGCTCACGTTTGCTGCAGACCCTGGCGCAATGTGTTAGGAAAACGGTCGCATTCACATGTACCGTGCGGGAGAGCACATGGGCGGCCGGCAGCTGGATGCAATGGCGCATAAAGAAGTCCATATATTGGCCAATCGGAAGCTGCGGCTGACGCACGATGCCCTCCCCTTCCTGGGAGGCCGCAACGATGGCAGCTAGCAAAGCGGCCATGGTCGGATTTGTGTAGAAGGCGCGAATCGCTCGGGCTGCACGGGACAGTGTCTGAGCCTCGACCAACTGATTGTTATTCCCCTCATTAGTAGTAGCCTTGAATGGATTCATATTGAGGCAGCGGCTACCTTTGAGAAATTATAAATATACAAATTGCAATGAATTTCGAAAGGAAAGCACAGAGCTAAGAACATTCTCGCACTTACTTTTGAGAACGATTCGAGCTTGCGAAGGGTATTAATTCAAAATGGAAGGATAATTTTTGCCGGTTACGATGTGAGCTTGCGAAGGGTTTTAATTCAAAAGGAAGGATATGGCTACCGGCTATGACGTTGTCAAAAAGTTCCAGGGCACATCCGGTGCGCATCAAATTGCGCGTTGCCCAACACTGTTTTCACCTGGCTTTCGAGAGCCTGCGTTGCCATAACACCAATTGGCACTTGCATATGCCTTGGCTCGGCTCGATACTGATCGGCATCTTGTTGAAATTAAAATTACTGATCGAAAATGTTGCAGAAGAGATTTTGGTTAACACGCTCGACCTCGCACGGCCCGGAAATCCTCGCGGGCATTGTTCCATTTTGAGTGCACATGATGAACTCATCTCTAGCCAAAGCAAAGCTGTATAACAAATGGCGTCGTTATTCAACACTTGACTGTCGAAAACTTTGCCACATTTACTAGCTAGTCTGCTTGTGAACTTTACACAATTATCCGGCACTTGCAATGATAAGTGTGGGCTTTACATAATCCGGATTCCAAACTGTTTGTTGCGTGCGCCTTCAAGACTTTCTCAACACTAATATCGATAGGTGCAATAATCAGGCTCGGCTCATTTCTACTTAGCGCCTAGGTCCCTAACAAATATCGCCAACACTGTTCAGTCGATGGAAAGCCTTGGCAAGTGCATCCTTTATATCCATGCTTTATACTTTATCAAATTAACGCAACAAAATAAGTCATATTGTTAGTTAGCTGTCTGGAGTGTTACCCAGCACTCATTTTGATTGGTACTCATATCACGTGAGCCTGGAAGGCTCTGCAAGTGCATCGCACCTTAGAAATTTGCCCAACACTAATATCTAGCCTCGAAGGGTCAAGGCTTCCTGCGCTTGGGTCCTGAACTGGAGTGGAACCGAGCAGCGCAGCTCCATTAAATGCATAGATGCATATCGAGTGCCATCGTTGTTCAACACTGGCTTAATCAAAACAAATCACAGAAACTTTGGCACGTGCCGCGCAGCATGAGAGATTGTGTGATGTCATAATAACAATTTCGAAAGTGAAAATCTGATGCAGCTTAGTGGAGGCAACAGCAACAACAAGTGAAGCCGCACCGAGGCACGTTTAACGTCAAGGCACATGCACCACACACAGCTTCGAATTCGATTTGAATTTGAATTATGGTCTCGGTTCTAGCCGAAGCTGCGATGCGCTACCAAAAAGCCAAAGGCTGACTCAGCTCAATATTGTATTATTGTCTATAGGCAATAAATTGTAAAATTTGATTTGGCGTGCACAAGGCCGAATGCCCGACCGTGGGTAGCGCAGCGCGAAGATTCAGACCTATTTAACGCCTCGGGCCAAAAATGCATCGTGGGCGTCTTCTGTCTGTGTCTGGCTCAGCTGCTGGAGCAGACATGACTTCTAAATGCTCTATAACCATGTCAGTGATGCCACCTGGTCAAAATATTGAATGTGAAGTGCTGCCAATTTAATCCGTTAATTTTCATGCAATTGCAAGTTGCCAGAAGTGCCAACTTTTGACGGCAACAAACGATATGTATCCACATTTATAAGTAAGTATATACATATATAATTGCTCATGCTCGATGCATTCCATTTAATGACAATAGGCAAATTGCTATAATGCCACGCCCACCTGCGGCATTTATCATCAGACGTCAGACGCCAGACGTCAGCAGCCCGCGATGATGCCCTTGTTTGGGTTTAGGGTATACGTACGAAACGGTGAAACAATAAACACCAAATAAAGCACTTTGAATGCAGTTTGTGGAGATAGCCATAAAATATAATAAAGAAGAAAACAAAAATAAATAATAAATAATAAATAATAGGCGACACGAGAGCGGGAAATATTGAAATTGTTTAAATATTAAATTATTACAAAAATGTGCATAAATGAATATGGAATGATCTATGCAAATGGAAATGGAAATTGAAATGGAAATGCATGACACGTCGTTCCCATTTGTTGCATGTTGTTGCCTTTCGTCGTGCCAAGCAGCGCCTTCAAATCGAACGGATCGGATCGGATCGCATAACATTAAATAAGCGACGCGCGCCAATCTTGATGACATAACCTCAAAAAGCGGCGTCAGCTTTTTTTTTTTGCTAACGGGCCGCATGCGCGGGCGTCCAACGAGAAGGCGACAAGTGTGACAGTGTTGAAAAACAGCTTGATCTGCAGGCCTGCAACTGGATTTAAAGTGTTTACACATTGTTTGAGAGTTGAAATTATCGATCGCAATTCAAGGTTTGATTTCAAAGTTTGCCTACTTAACTAGACTGAGAACTTGTGTTCTACTTGTGTTCCAATAAGAATATTTACTAAACTAAGCAGTTACGATATTTAGTCTGCCTAAAGTTTTCGGTTTTCCTTGGATAAAGTTTTCCACATCACAGAATATATGTACTTTTATATTAATTTCTATATTAATATATTCCTAGTCAAGCACACGGCTTCGCAACAAGTTTTAGCTGACATCTCTGACATCTCAAATGATACACAGATAGGCACTCATTATTTGCTTATAATTCACAACTAGTTATAACGCAGAGGTGCTGTCATAAGCGCATTGGTCACATTGATCCACACTTAAAATAGTTCACCTATGCGAGGAAACGATTGCTGTCCTGAGTTCATATACCGGCAGATCGTGTATGTAGAAGATGGAGTAAGTTTCAATCAAATTCCCAAATAGTTATAGCTCATTCCCAACTAGTTCTAGTTAATGAGTTCGCTGTTATCCACATACTGGCAGATTGTATATTTGGATGATCGAGTACACCTATTATTCCCTTATAATTCCCAACTAGTTGTAGCTCGATGATACTGTTATGCAGAATCGCAGTGATCTACATTGTAGCTGAGTGGCAAATATGTGAAGTATGTGTGCCACATATTCAGCTAGGCCCGCCCATTCACAAATTATGTGCTGGCCAAATGACTGATGAGTGACGAGTGTTTGCAATTAGAATAGTGAGCTGTGCCCCAAAGTGAGTCTTTCGGATTTGGCGGCTAGTTGGAGGGGGATGGGGATGGGTGTTGGGCTGCGTGTTAATTAATTATGCATAACATTGCGGCGCCATCATTCGGATGATGCCAGCTCCTGTGCCCTGGCCTGGTTGCCGTTTGTGGCCCAACGCTCAGCTCGTTGCAATCAGTCCAACTGACGCGTAGACCCTGCTCTGGCGGGGAGAGGGGCGTGGCTGGGGGAGGGGGAGCTGGTGCAGCTGCCCCGTTGGCGATCTGTTCAGTTGCCGTCAGCCTAAAAATGCCGCGCTAAATTCTTGTGACTCTTTAAAAATAAACTTTTTCTAGATATTTGTCGCGCTTTAAAATAAGCCAAAATATTTTTGACTTTCACTTGCGATGCGTCTCGGCGCGATTGTTGTTGTTTTTGTTGTTGTTGTCGCCTTTGTGTCTAATTTATTGTTGTTGCGCTCTTTAATTTGTTTTTAGCACGCAAATTATGTGCGGCAAGCGGCAGAGGACTATTTGGCCCGGCGACAGGCGCGCAACAAATCAATGACACGCTCAATGACTTCCGGATTGGCCGGACCGATACTCGCCCTGGGCAATGTGCATTATCTGCCCGCGGCCAAGAGCGGCACCTTCTTTGCCCGCGACAATGTGTCCAACTTTATAACCTGGTGCAGGTGAGTCTTAACCCAACTACAACATACGAATCACAGCTAGTTCTACATAGATCCACATCTTTTACATACTTAGCTATAATCCACAAATTAGCATATTTAAGGTCAAAATTCTCAACTGCTTCTAGCGCACATATCGACTCGTCAGTTCACAACGATCGACAGACTTCTATGCGATCAATATAATTCTCAACTAGTTCTAAGTATTAGGATTTGGCATTCAGCTTCTCAGCTATCTTTAATTGATTACTTGATCAACTTTTTGTTGATTGTTACAGAATATATGTATTATTTTAAGATCAATACAATTAGAGAAATGTTTGAAAATAAGTTAATTATTTATCAATGATAGACATTATGGCATGATCCTCAACGAGATTGAATAATGAAGATTGATTCAAGATTTGTTTTAGTATGCTTCAGTTTTTTTTTAAAGATCAGCGATCGCCTGCGTGCTTTGATCCTTAACTTAACATCCCTCAGTAACTGATGAACTTTGATATGCTTTAACAAGAATCTATTATCAAATAAGTTGAAGAAAATACCTGATCAGTGATCGCTGATCGCTGATTATTGATTGACTAACGATTTGTCATTTGCAGAAAGAGCCTTAAAATCATCGAGTGCCTATTGTTCGAAACGGACGATCTGATCATGCGCAAGAATGAGAAGCATGTGATCCTCTGCCTGCTGGAGGTGGCCAGGCGTGGCGCCAAGTTTGGTAAGTGCAACAACATGATGTTATCGATCAGCCCAACTGATCGATATGTGTGCAAATTTATCGATAGGCATGTTGGCGCCGATGCTGGTCCAAATGGAGCGACAAATCGATCGCGAAATCGCGGCCGATAACAAGGCGAACGGCGTTGGCTGCGGCACACAGACGAACAACGGCTGCTCGGAGAGCGGCACCCAAACGGAGACGCCGCCGATCGGCTCAGAGTGTGCCGCCATCGAGACGGATCTCTATGACAGCGACACCGAGAACGAGGATGAGCACGACAAGGACCCGATGCTTATGTACGGGCCACAGCCCCAGATCATAACGAACGATCTGAAGAGTCTCGACGAGATGGTAAGTAAGTGGGGCATGCTCCAAGCCACGGCTCAGGCCAAAGTCTGCCCAGCTCGCGGCCCTAATTGCGCTCGCTGTTGATGTCATTTTCCAGCTGATTTTTCCTGCTGCTGCTGCTGCTGCTTTTCTTTAGGTTTTCTTGACGTGGCGCTGTGTTTTCTCTTTTATTTATTTTTGTTTCGTTTTTTTTTTTTTTTTTGTGTGGCAGCGGACCTCACGACTTTTTGTTATTGTTGTCGTTGTTGGTTGTTGTAGCTACTTTTCTCATGTCCATTTTTAGCCACGGCTAAGTTTTCCAGTT